CTCTGCATGGGGGAAGTGGGTACTCTGTGTGAGAGTAGGGGGTGCTCTGCATGGGGGAAGGGGGTACTCTGTGTGAGAGTAGGGGGTACTCTGCATGGGGGATGTGTTACCTGCTGTGACAGTGCTGCCCATGGGAGCCAGCTGAGGTCACTCAATCAGGGTGAACTGCAAACCAAACGGGGCAGACAAACCCCGAACGCTGGTGGTTATTCCAATACTTAGATTTACCAACCAGCCCAAAACAGCTTCTGTAAAACCTCACTGGTTACTCAGCAGTTCCCTTAACGTGCCCAGCGTCCGGCCTCCGTCCAGACACACCTGTCAGATATGATGATGATTACTGAAAATCTTATCTCATCATATAAAAGAAAAGGTTCTTCCGACCCCAAAGGATCAGCCACACGCCCAGGTTCAATTATAACTTAGATCTGACCCAAAATACACGCTATAGTCAATTCTTATTAACTAAGCTACAATTTATTTAAAAAGAAAAGAGAGAGAGAGTTGGTTAAAAGATCAATATACAGACAGACTTGAATTCAATTCTTGAGGTTCAGATGCATAGCAGAGGTGATTTTGTAGTTACCAAAAGTCCTTTTAGAAATAGTCCAGGTTATAGTCCAATATTCAGGGTGACTCCAGTCAGTGACGGGGGGGGGAGATCTCAATCCTTGTGGCTTAAGGTTTCCCCCTCTTGAAACCCAAAGCGGATCTGAGATAAAGGCAGATTGTGTCCCAAGGTTCTTATACATTTCCAGCAGCCTTTCGGCCTGAGAAAACAATAGGCTTAACTCTCCTTCCAAACATCCTGGCAATTAGCACAGGGTAATTTATCCATTAAACAGTTCAGATACAGGTTACCACAACCTTCAAAGAGACATAGAGACAATAATACTGTTTCACTCAAGTATCATCATAAATGTTAACATTCCTTTTTTGATCTTTAAATTGAAGTTATAGCAATAGACAAGACTTGTTTGCTGACATCACAAGACCCGAGCAAACATCTACCCTTGAGCTCTCTAACAATGCAGACTTGCATTTCAAAGCTCTGTGCATTTACATATCTTCCTAACCAGTGTCTACAGTTCACCCATGGGTCAGGGCAGTCTGAATTAATTAACTCTTTCTGGCCCTGTCATCTTTCAATGAAATATTATTTTACACTCATAACGTCACGCCTGCACACATTAGGGCACCCCACCTTTTCCCAAGCCGTAGGGCTCCGGGTGTTTACTACTTCTGCAGGTGTGCAGGACCTTTTACCGGTGAAAGAGCCTTCCACAGTGATACCCCAATCCTCTCGTTATTAACAGTCACCACGCAGAATGCCCACTAAGCACACAGTGCCAGGCTCACCAACCCAGCTCCCGCAGGCGGACTTTCCCCGTCGGCCGGGCCAGGCCGGTCTCGGCTGGGCCCTAGTTGCTGCACGTCACGCTGCAGAGGCTTCGTAACAGCTCTGATCTGAGGTTGAGTCTTGGGGGTAAGATCTTCTTCCTCCAGCACTTTCCTTCTTCTTCTTCTTCTCTTCCCAGCTGGTCTCCTTCTTAGACCCCAGTTTATAGAGTGAAACTCGAGTCCTGCTTAGCTAGACCTTAACCAACCATTGTACTGAAATCTGTCTAACCAATCCTAACCTACTGTAACATAATGCTCTGCCCCATATATCCCACTCCCCTAATGAACTGACCCCTAGCCAAAGTAATGGTACAGCAGACAGACAATGAAAGAACCAGACAGGTAAACAATAGGGAAGTGGGGACCATAATGAAAGGAACGAGGATTTCACAACCACAACCATTGATCAGTGAGCTCTTGCTGGCAGGCTGCTGTCAAACTCCGTTTTCTTTAACCCTTTAAGATGTGTTTCTGTCTCTGGTGCTAGTGGGGCCATTAGGACGGACGGGGTGTCCTTCTTCCCAGCCGGATCGGACAGTGTTTGAATGTCACGTAGATGGAATGTGAGGATGTGTCTTCCTGCTTCTCCGCTCAGGGCTGCTGCTCCGCTGCTCCAAGGCCTGATCCGTACACATTGGGGATTAGGGGGTACTCTGTATGGGGGATGGGGTACTCTGTATGGGGGGCAGGGGTACTCTGTATGGGGGGCAGGGGTACTCTGTATGGGGG